GTAAAATTCAGACTCAAAGCGTGTCAGAGTGTCCACGAGATGGCGCCAGAAGACTATTTTTGAGGCCTTTGTAATTTAGTAATGGCCCTTTAAGAGGCGGGGAGATCCGTGCTGATCTGGATGCAGAATCTTCCGCGTCGGAATCGACCCGCATGCATTTCTGTCTGCTACCCTGTGAGTTTTAAAATACATGCCTCTGATGTTGGCAGAAACATAACTTTACTTCAGATATTTCTTTCAAAACAGAATATTCTGTGCCGTGAAAAGCCTTCTCCTCTACTTGTGATAATGAAAATGAAAGCCAAGGAACATTCACGTATATTATACAATAAACATATTTAATATAAAATCATTCTAACTTTATTTTTAATCTGTATTTTAACCCTCTAAAAACAGCTATGTCCTTGCCACAAAACTAATAATCCATCTTCAAAACCTACAATTTCTTTCCATTCGGTCCGGTCGGACCTGAACGTCTTTATACCGTTGTAATCACGTGTAAATTCTAACAAAGACAATGTTTGCACTTTTTAAATCACATTTTATTTATTGTGCAAAAACAGTATTATAATGTTTTAAAGCAAAAATGTTAACAACAATTATTTACAAACAGTGAAAATAAAGTGTGTGTGTGTATATATATATATATATATATATATATATATATATATATATATATATATATATATATATATATATATATATATATATATATATGTATATATGTATATATATATATATATAGTTGATGTCAGAATTATTAGCCCCCCTGTTTATTTTTTTCCCAATTTCTGTTTAATGGAGGGAAGATTGTTTCAGCACATTTCTAAGCATAATAGTTTTAAAAACCTATATCTAATTACTGATTTATTTTATCTTTGCCATGATGACATTAAATAATATTTGACTTGATATTTTTCAAGACACTTCTATACAGCTTAAAGTGACATTTAAAGGCTTAACTAGGTTAATAAGGTGAACTAGGCAGGTTAGGGTAATTAGGCAAGTTATTGTATAACGATGGTTTGTTCTGTAGATTATCAAAAAAAAAAATTGCTTAAAGGGGCAAATAATTGTGTCCCAAAAATAGTTTTTAAATAATTAATAACTGTTTTTATTCTAGCCGAAATAAAACAAATAAGACTTTCTCAAGAAGAAAAATATTATCAGACATACTGTGAAAATTTCCTTGCTCTGTTAAACATAATTTGGGAAATATTTAAAAAAGGGAAAAAAAATCAAAAGGGGGTTAATAAATCTGACTTCAACTGTATATATGTATGTATATATATACATACATACATACATATATACATATATAACACATACACACATTTATGGTTAGGGTTATAAGGATTATTTCTTAATCCCCCTTTTATGTTAGCAAAAACATAAGTTTACTTCAGATATTTCTTTCAAAACAATATTCTGTGCCGCAAAAAAGCCTTCTCCTCACTTGTGATAATGACAATGAAAGCCAAGCTTTTGGCCTATGCTGTACCAAAAAAAAATAAAATCACCCAGGTGATGACAATTAAATATTACGATTATAACATTGTGTTAGTGCCAGTGGGGTGGAACAACGTCATTGGTCAGAATTAACCACGTGATGAAGACGGCCTAATATTGCATTTAATGCGATTTTCTTCCTGTAAACTGTATATATAACTATATAACTATAACTATATATATAATGCTGCAAATTACTGTAAATTGACTGTACTCTATATTAACTGCAAAAATTATAAGACTGATTAAATAAAAGACAAATTAACTAAATGTAGCAACATCTAGCAACAGCCTAGAAACCACTCAGAACACGCTAGCAACTACCTAGGAATGCCTTAGCAACACCTTAGCAACCGCCTAGCAACCACTTATCAACCGCTGTGCTTCCTGCCAACTGCCTTTGAGTCCCCGGCGCAGTCACGTTGGCTTTCTCAAGCCAACATCAAAGTTCGTCAACGAACTTTAGGTTCTAGTTATTATTATTATTATTATTCCGGCTTCTGACCAAAAAAAAGCAATCGCTTCTCCTCCCAGGGCTTAGATGCTACAAGCCCCAAATTTGGTCAAAAGCTGTCTATTGCCCATGAGATGGTTGCTGTATGTCCTCATGCCGATAAGATTTGTAGTTTTTGAATTAAAAATTTTTTTAATTAAAAAATTGTAAATATTACAATCGAGTATTTGGGGCTTATAAAAAAGTATACAATCCTCAAATTTGGCCAAAAGATGTGCTTTAAATTGAAGATAATTATCATATTTATTTGGTGTAATTATAAATAACAGTTTTCCTATAAATATTTTTTTTATATTAAATTTGTTAATTTCAAACCTAAAGCTTGTCAGAGTGTCCACGAGATGGCGCCAGAAGACTATTTTTGAGCCCTTTGGAATTGAGTTTACTGCACCTTTAAGAGGCGGAGATATCCGGGCTGACTGTTTTTGCTCTACAGAAAGTTCGGCTCATTTCAGACGTGCTTGTTACAACATTTGAAGCTGTTTACATTAAAATTTCTCAGCGAAAATACACAAATACAAGTGATACAACTCTATTTAGTGTTCCTTTAAGAGGCAGAGAGATCGGTGATCAAAATCGAGGTGAGGTTGAACTTAATTCTGGTCATCAGTCATTCATATTATGCTCGGGGTGAACTCCATAAAGCGTAATAAAACTGATCTGGATGCAGAATCATCCGCGTCGGAATCGACCCGCATGCATTTCTGTCTGCTACCCTGTGAGTTTTAAATACATGCCTCTGATGTTGGCAGAAACATAACTTTACTTCGGATATTTCTTTCAAAACAGAATATTCTGTGCCGTGAAAAAGCCTTCTCCTCTACTTGTGATAATGAAAATGAAAGCCAAGGAACATTCACGTATATTATACAATAAACATATTTAATATAAAATCATTCTAACTTTATTTTTAATCCTTATTTTAACCCTCTAAAAACAGCTATGTCCTTGCCACAAAACTAATAATCCATCTTCAAAACCTACAATTTCTTTCCATTCGGTCTGGTCGGACCTGAACGTCTTTATACCGTTGTAATCACGTGTAAATTCTAACAAAGACAATGTTTGCACTTTGTAAATCACATTTTATTTATTGTGCAAAAATAAATCCAAACAGCATCATAACCAATAAAAACACACAGCAAAGAAAATGTATTTTAAAATAGTGAATATATATATATACATACAATGTATGGAGATTTTTTATATCCCCTTAATATGCTCTGCTGTTGCTGCATCAATTTCTCTCTGTAACATCTGGATTGCAATTTACACTGCAATGTTCACAATTTATTATTATGGGGGGGAAATCCAAACAGTATTATAATGTTTTAAAGCAAAAATGTTAAGAACAATTATTTACAAACAGTGAAAATAAAGTGTGTGTATATACATATATATACAGTTGAAGTCAGAATTATTAGCTCCCCTGTTTATTTTTTGCCCAATTTCTGTTTAATGGAGGGAAGATTGTTTCAGCACATTTCTGAGCATAATAGTTTTAATAACTCAATTCTAATAACTTCTTTATTTTATCTTTGCCATGATGACAGTAAATAATATTTGACTTGATATTTTTCAAGACACTTCTATACAGCTTAAAGTGACATTTAAAGCCTTAACTAGGTTAATAAGGTGAACTAGGCAGGTTAGGGTAATTAGGCAAGTTATTGTATAATGATGGTTTGTTCTGTAGACTATCAAAAAAAAATTGCTTAAAGGGGATAATAATTGTGTCCCAAAAATAGTTTTTAAATAATTAATAACTGCTTTTATTCTAGCCGAAATAAAACAAATAAGACTTTCTCAAGAAGAAAAAATATTATCAGACATACAGTGAAAATTTCCTTGCTCTGTTAAACATCATTTAGGAAATATTTAAAAAAGGGGAAAAAAAAATCAAAAGGGGGTTAATAATTCTGACTTAAACTGTATATATGTATGTATATATATACATACATATATACATATATAACACATACACACATTTATGGTTAGGGTTATAAGGATTATTTCTTAATCCCCCTTTTATGTTAGCAAAAACATAAGTTTACTTCAGATATTTCTTTCAAAACAATATTCTGTGCCGCAAAAGAGCCTTCTCCTCACTTGTGATAATGACAATGAAAGCCAAGCTTTTGGCCTATGCTGTACCAAAAAAAAATAAAATCACCCAGGTGATGACAATTAAATATTACGATTATAACATTGTGTTAGTGGCCAGTGGGGTGAAACAACGTCATTGGTCAGAATTAACCACGTGATGAAGACGGCCTATAATATTGTATTTAATGCGATTTTCTTCCTGTAAACTGTATATATAACTATAACTATATATATAATGCTGCAAATTACTGTAAATTGACTGTACTCTATATTAACTGCAAAAATTATAAGACTGGTTAAATAAAAGACAAATTAACTAAATGCATGTGCTATTGTTTCATTAGTATTTTAATTTAATATTTTTCTTTATATGATATTTATTATAATGTAATTTTGTTCAGATTATAATATATACTATAAATACTAACTATACTATAGTGATCTGCATTAAACAACCTGAACAAATCAGTCCTCTCTCTCTTTCTCGATTTGATCAAAAATGTAAATGAGGCCTTCCGATTAACAGTTCAGTGGACCCTAGCATCAGCCTAGAAACCACTCAGAACACCCTAGCAACTACCTAGGAATGCCTTAGCAACATCTTAGCAACCGCCTAGCAACCACTTCTCAACCGCTGTGCTTCCTGCCAACTGCCTTTGAGTCCCCGGCGCAGTCACGTTGGCTTTCTCAAGCCAACATCAAAGTTCGTCAACGAACTTTAGGTTCTAGTTTATCATTAATATTACAAACGCTTAGTAGCGTATATTTAATGTGTTTTACTGACTAGTCCTGTGTAAATGTTGATACCGTGTCACAAAGACATGAGCGACCATTTAGTTGTATGTTATTATTACCATATTATTTACTGTAGGGATGGAAGCAGGAGGTTCTCTGTCACAGTGGCTGAACTCTGATATTTTCATCGTGTTTGTGGTGTTGCTGTTGCTGCTGTTGCTGGTCATCTTTGCAGTGTGCTGGCTTATGAGACGACAATACACACAGAGACCCCCAGAGTACTAAAACACCCACTCTGCACCTCACTTTAATTTCCATTTCCATTGAACACTGGTCCCACACATTTCTGTAATTTAAAGGGATAGTTCATCCAAAAAATGTTTACTCGCCTTCATATGGTCAAGTGAATGGCAAATAAGTGATGACAGAATTTTCAGAATTTTAATTTTGTGGTGAATTAATTAATTATTTTTCTTACAGCATTGATTGGCATAATTGGGTAATTCTTTAACTACAGGCACTTTTATGTCCTTTAATATATATATATGTCCTTTAAATATATATATACTTGTAGTTAAAGAATTACCCAATTATGCCAATCAATTATATATATATATATATATATATATATATATATATATATATATATATATATATATATATATATATATATATATATATATATATATATATATATATAATTTTGTTCAAATTCCGCTTTTTTGTCAAAATTTATTACCTTTCTATTATATTTTGTCATATTATTCATCCTCCTTTTAGGTGTCAAAATTACTGTTTTGCCTTGTCGCACACCTAGAGTTTTAAAGTTCAACAATGAAAATAAAATTTCAATCAATCAAATATTATTTATCTGGTAACTACTAATGTATTTTAATTAAGCGCTAGTGAAATAATTAAAATATTTTATAGTTATTAATGTGAGACTATTATCAATATAATTTTTAAACAAAATATAGCTGTCGCACAGTATCAGTGTCATTTCCACCACAGCTCTATAATGGCGCTTTAAAAAGATTATTTTGGTGGTTTTTATGAAAAGGAATAGTGACATCCGAGCACATGATCAAGATCGAAAGAAAAAAATGTTCATTAACAACACATGAAGAAAAAATATGCTAAACATTTCTTGACAAGGTCATACATTTATCCTATGTCATTTCCAAACATGATGTACCTTCAAAGGTGTTTTTAAAAACCAAACAAAATTAAGGTAAATAATGGTATTTTGTATAAATGAAATGATAGTATCAATTCAAAGCTGATCAGTGAAGCTATCTTTAATTTCTTCTCAATAAACTGTAGAAATGTCATTTCCACCAATGACATTTATGGTAATCAACACAATTGATCTGGAAAAAGTACAAGGGTTAGACAATGAAACTAAAACAATGGCCAATTTAGTGTTGGAGGTTTCATGGCTTAATTTGAGCAGCTGGTGGCCAGTCTTCATTGATTTTCATTCCACCAGTAAGAGCAGAGTGTGAAGGTTTTAGCAGAGTAATAGCAGAGTTTTGCTGAAAAGATTGCAATGCACACAACATTATGTCATATGATGGCATATCAGAGTTTGAAAGAGAATAAATTGTTGGTGTGTGTCTTGCTGGGGATGTTCAGGTGCTAACACCAATTGTTTCCAAAAAAAAAAAACATGAAACCACAGCTGCCCAACTCACTGCAGAATTATATGCAACTCAACTCTCCTGTTCCCACTAAAACTGTTGGTCAGAAGCTCCACAGGGTCAATATACATGCCGGGCTGCTATAGCAAAACGTTGCCTATTCATGCCAGTGCCAAAGTGCAATGGGTTGTGGACAATGTGGAACATGTATTGTTCTCTGATGAGTCCACCTTTGCTGTCTTTCCCACATCTGTGAGAGTTACGGTGTGGAGAAGGTCCAAGGACTACCGAACTGTTCTGAAGGACCATGTGCACCCAATGGTTTAAATATTGTATCCTGAAGGCAGTGGGGTGAATTGCCCAATTATGCTTTCACAATGGTATGAACCATTATAGGTGGGTCAAATGTGTATTTATATTTTACATGTTTAATTATTTAGATTTAAGATTTAGAATAGAGAAAGCTATTTCCTACTATTAAAGGGCTGACCCCCTGCACTTAAATAGCAGCATCATCAGTCATGATTAATTCACTCCGAATGGCACTTCAGAGGGCGATAGCCTATATCCCGTTTGTAACGCAGCACACGTGTCCCTGAAGATCTTATTTTGTTGGTTTACGTGTATTAAATACATTTGTAGCAACACCTTATTTAAAGGTCCCATGAAATTTAAATAAAGTTAGATATTATTAGTAAAATTGCTCCAAAACAGTGACAATAGTTGTGTTTAGAAGATATAAAGCTGATAAAAACATGTAAAGCATGTGAAGTTGTCACTTCCTCCCAAGTGAATCAACGGTTTTATTCATGTGACCTCATACTTCATTTTCTCATCAAATCTTGACCAATCAAAGGCTCTCTAGTATCTGACATGCTCCGCCCCCTTCAAGACGCTTCACGTTTGATGCGCTTGACCACAACCACTCTCACTGGCAGATAAGTGGTAAAACAAAACACTATTGACCGGGGGTTTTTTTTTTATTAAAGCGAAGGAGCTAGTAACGTCTCACCCTCTCTTTATATTTCAGTTGAGATTAGATCAAACATGGGGAAAAAAACTGCACATTTCAAACACTTCATGGGACCTGTAAATTTAAAAAAGTGCAACTCTTCAGGAAAAATGCACCCCTGCTGTACATTATGGACCACTTACAGTAATGGAGGCCATTATAAGTCTATAAGTGCACACAAAGTGAGCTTTTTTGGGTAAATGACTTATTGTGCATTTATTTACCACTTTCAGACCTTGGGCAGTTTTGCACACTTACTTTCCATCACACCACAAGTGTGCTGGCATAGGCCTTAAGTCTTCTCTCTCACATTAATAACGTCTCTCACTCTCTTTTTCTCTAGGAAAATGGCTGAAATAGAGATTATTCCAGTTAACAGTGCAGACGCGGGCAACCCATCCAGATTTACCCTGAAGATTGTGACAGAGCAGACACATGCGACAGAGCTTGTGGAGATGTTAACCCAAAGAGGCCGCTGTGTTGAACCACTAAATACCCACAGGAACCCCTCTGTCTCAGCTGATGCAGCAGACAGTGACAGCGATCAAGACTTCACAGATGCATTACAAAGCATTTAAATATTGTTTTCAATTAGATTCCCCACCAAAACATTTAGTTTACTTACATTTGAAGTACAGAACTAAACAAGTGAACTTGTTATTGATTTTCTATTTTGTTTATTAAACTAATGAAATTAAGCTTACTGCAACTGCACATGTTTGTACTTGTTTGTACTAGTAATATGGTGTTATTAGTAGTGTAAGGTCCACCAAGTTGGTCCAATAGAGGTGTCCACTGGTGGATGAAGGTTCAATGCCTGTTCGGTCTTTCCAGTTCACAATGTTGATTTACTTTAAATTTAAATTTATCATTTTGATTATGAGGTAGTTTAGAATATTAATATATTTATCTTTCGTTTTATCTGACTCCAATCATAAAACATTAAGAAGATTATATCAATATATAATTTAGATAAATGTTTGAACCTTTTATCTTCACTCGTAACTATTACGTTTGTTCATTCGGGTGCTCATGTCGCTCAGAGAGATCGCCCCGGCCGATGTCGTCCCTCACGGTCACACTCTTGTCAGTCTTTTGAATATTAAACAGAGGTAGATGACTACTACTTTTAGATGGCCGCTCCCATGCTTGCTCATTCCAAAGTATTTTTGATTAGTCTTCCTTAGATGTACACCCTTGAGTAAAGACAAAATCATTTCCAATCAGAGGTTAGGGCCATTATTATAAATGTAACCGACTACTGTACTCTATAATAATTTTGGTTTAGCCAAGCCCATGGTTTCCCATATACACTTAATTTAGAATAACATTACTTTTAAAACAAGGGTACCCTATCTAGGTTAGTCGTGCAACTCCTTGTTGTCCTAGACGGAAGTTAACGCCCTTTCCAACTAAGTACACTTGAATCAATTTCAAGAGTCAGTCGGATGCCTAACATTCAATTAGTGTGCCCAATGCTCCATCTCAACTGGATTTTAGTCCATCTACTGACCTGACATAGGAAGTGCGAAAACAAGGATACAGCGTAATCTACTAGAATTAATAATTACAGAGAAAGTAAAATATGTTCAAACATAACAATTTATTAGTCAGGTAAATGTGTATTATGCCAATTCATTCAGTCAATTCTTAAACGATCAATACAAAACATCAAGTTATCAAAGATAAATCCAAGATTAAAAGATGCATACCTGACTTCAAAATATACTAAACATGGAACATGAAGTTCCACGTTATGGGCTGATCTGGGTAACAGAACATTTAGAAACTTTCCCTCCAGTAGTAATTCCAAGAATCACCTCGAGGAAAGGGATGTGTTAAATAACAAAAGGCTTTAGCATTTAATGGAAGAGTTTCGCCTATAGGAAAGGTACACCCTTGGCAGTGGTTCAAAAGATACCCGAATATTTTTTGTTTTGATTATGTCTGTTGTTGAGTGAATGAGACCATTGTACCAGTCGTACTGAGACATTTCCAATGATATCGAACATCATAGATAAAGTCACTTGGATTGATATAGAACACTCATATTTTGGAATGACCATTCTGTGTGAGTTGAGTGAAAAGGGGCTTAGTGACCATCTGGGTTTCGGGAGATGTTTTAAATGTATACTACTGTCTTACAGTAGTATATTTTAATGGACACACTTTCTCTTATCTCCGTATGCAACACAATCTGTGCATGACACAGGACCTGTGGACACACTTTCTCTTCTCCATGCTTGGAAAAAAAACTTATTAACTTCTGGCTGACATACAGTATGCAGCAATATTACTGGAATAGAGAATTGACAGTCCTTTCTGCTTAGGGGTTACACCAGTTTCAACCCTACTTAAAGCCAACACAGACAGAAACTGAGCTGTTAACCTTGTTTATTTAAACTACTGGACACATACATTTATAGACTCTAGTCTACATGTGACTTAGCATTTTACATCTTGTTTGCAGAATGAATGCATGAGTGGACAAATGTTTACCTATTTCACCTGAGGTCAAACATAGTTCAAGCCCCGGCTGGGTCAGTTGGCATTTTCTGTGGAGTTTGCATGTTTTCCCAGAGTTGGCGTGGGTGCTCTGGCGTTTTATATAAGCAAACCTGTTTTTTTTATCAATGTAAGAAAAATAATGCCTTCTCATTCTGGTGGATGAATGGTGGAGTAAATATCAGGGATAAAAACAACTAAGGGCTGCACGGTGGCACAGTGGGCAGTAAGTTTGCCTCACAGCAAGAAGGTTACTGGTTCCAGCCTCGGCTGGGTCAGTTCTGTGTGGAGTTTGCATGTTCTCTCCGTGTTTTTTTTGTTTTAATATCTGTATTGTGTAGCAACCAAGGGCGTAGGTTTGCACTTGACATTGACTGGGGATGAGTGAATACACCCCCCCCCCCTCCCCCCAACACCCCCGCCTAGAATGAATATTGTTTTTTTAATACATTATATATTTTATATATCGCTCTTAATTATTTAACTGCTATTAAAATATTTTATTAAGTTAAATTAAATATTCAGACACAAAGCCAAGAAGATTTAGGTTGTTTGAAAGACCAAAATTTGCATTATTATTATTATGTTTGAATTTATCTTATTATTCAAATGACCAAATTCTGACTGAGGAAGGTTGATAGTGCTGGCCAGTTTTTTATTTGCCTAAAGGCTTCAGTTTTTAATTTAAATCAAGTTTAAACAGATTTCCCAAAGAAAATTATGCTTAAGAAATTGTATTTTAAAAATAAGTATATTTTCATATTTGAAGAGTTTAGATGCAAAAAAACTCTAAATGCCATTTAATATTTTCTTCTAAAATTAGCATTTTTCTCCAACTCCTGTGTGTGGACTCAGTGATTTTACTTTTATAGTGACGAATGCATTCTTTTCATTGCCTTTAAAGTGAAATAACTGAACTAAATAAATATACGAGGCTGAGAAAAATGCTCATTTTACATGCCATTTAGAGGTATTGGCATCTGAACTCTTAATTTCTTTATTCTAAGAATTTAAAGTTCTAATTTCTAATTTGAAGTATTTTTATTGTTTATAAAACTGTAATATAAAACTTACAGTTTAAATGCACATCATCATCATCATCATCATCCTTAGCGTGACAATCCATTACTAGATCCTGGCTGCCTCAAGTAATTTCCGCCAATGTTCTCTGTCCCGGGCAACTGCCCACCAATTCCTTATTCCTAAAACATTGGCATCACTACTAATGCTGTCTCGCCATCTTGGTTTAGGCCTTCCTACTTTTCTTTTGCCTACGGGGTCAGTTTTGAAGATTTTTTTGTAATGGAATTTTCATCCATACGTGTGACGTGTTCTGCCCACCTTAGCCTCGCAAGTCTGATATATTTAACTATATCAATTTCCTTATACAAGGCTGCAAGCTCATTGTTGTGAAGTATCCTCGATTGATTATTGTCTTTTATTGGGCCATATATTCTCCTCAGAATTTTTCTTTCAAAAACTAAGAGCTTTTGTTCTATGGCTTTTGTCATTGTCAACGATTCTGATCCATAGGCCAGGACTGGGCGAATCAGGACTTTTTAGAGGGTTATCTTTGTCTGTCTAGGCAGTGAACGGTTCTTCATGAGTCTGTAATAGCTTTTATTTGCAGAGGCAAGTCTCTGTATCACTTCTTGATTTAGATTGTTGTTTGTAGTGATCACTGATCCTAGATACTTGAACTTATTGACCTTTTCAAATATATAATTTCCCACTTGTATCGTTGAGTTGGTCTGGCGGGCATCACTAGTCATATACTTTGTCTTGCTTTCACTTATCTTAAGTCCCATTTTCCTTGCTGCCAATTCCAAAGAAGAGGAAGCTTCTTTCATTGCTGATAAAGTTCTGGCAATAATGCAAACATCATCAGCATATGCTAATATTTGGACAGTTTTATTGTATATTGTGCCGATGGTATTTATACCAGCATCTCTAATTACATCTTCAACCGCCAGATTGAACAGTGTGCAGGCAAGTGTGTCTCCGTGTCCTAAGCCACGATCACACCGGAATTTCTTGGAGAGATCTCCCTGCACTCTTACACAACAGCTTGTGTCCTGCATTGTCATTTTGACTAAGCGTATTAACTTCAATGGGATTCCTAACCTCTTCATTGACAAGTATAAGTTCTCATGAAGGTGTGTCGTATGCTGCTTTGAAACCAATAGATACGTGTGGACATTAAATTCATTCATTTTTTTCCATGATCTGTCTGATAGTGAACAATTGATCTGTTGTAAAACTTGCCTTTCACAAAGCCGCACTGGTATTGCCCCATGGCTTGCTCAGCATATGGCCAGAGTCTTGAATTCAGGAGGCTGGAGAGTACTTTATATGCAGAGGGGAGCAAGGTTATAGCTCTGTAATTGTCACACTCCAGTACGTCGCTTTTTATGTATTGGACATATGATTCCTGTCTTCCACTCTTCCGGGATCACTTCCTCTGTCCACAACTTCAGTATTATTTCATGCAGCTTTTTCATGGATTCCGAGCCTCCTTCTTTCAAAAGTTCAGAGTCTAGCCCATCAATTCCAGGTGCTTTATTATTTCTTAGAATCTTCACGGCATCAAATACCTCATCATCATCTGGTGGTTCTAAATCATCGCTGCTGAGGTATTCCTGATGTATAGTTTCATGTTCGCCCTTTATCTTAAAGTGGTTTTCATAATGTTCAGTCCACCTTTCCAATATGCCAGCTTTATCTGTTACTAGGGTTCCGTCACTTTTCCGAATTTGGCTTATCCTTGGTAGAAATGCTTTCCTTCCCTCGTTTACACTTTTATAGAAATTTCTTATATCCTTCTGCTCCTTTAATAATTCTAGATTTTCCACTCTGTTTCTCTCCCAAACTCTCTACTTCTTTCTATGGAGCTTCTTCTCATCTCTTCTGCTTTTTCTATATTCTTCCACCGATTTTCTCGTCCTTCTCCTACTAATCATACGCTTCGTTCTTTTCCAATGTAGCTCTTCTGCACTCGTCATCAGACCAATCGGGTCGCGGTGACCTCTGTTTAATTCCTAATGTTTCATCTGCCGCCATTTTTATGCCCTCTCTAAATACGTTCCATTCCGCATCAATATCCTCCGAATTCTCCGTTCTCCTCATATTTTCATCCAAGCAGTATTGGAACCTTTGTATAGAGGTTGGATCTTTGAGCTCGGCTATATTATACTTAATTACCTTATCCGATTTTGTTTTCCTAATATTCGATATTCGAGCTCGGAGAATTCCCATAACAAGATAATGGTTTGAGTCGACATTTGCACCCCTGTAAGTCCTCACGTTGAGGAGATAACTTTTGAGTCTTGAGCTTATTAATACATGGTCAATTTGATTGACAGTTCTGTCATCTGGGGATACCCATGCAGCTTTGTGGATCATTTTAGATTTAAAAAGGGTACTGCCTACAATTAGGTATTATGATGCTGCAAATTCATCAGTCCATTATTATTTGTTTCGTCGTGTAGGCTGTGTCCTCCTATCACAGGATGCAATGATCTTTCTTTGCCTGTGCATTGAAATCTCCCAGAAAGAGCTGTTGTGGGCACTTTTCTGTCGCTTTCTCTAGTTCGTCTTAGAAGGTATCTTTTTCACCGTCTTCAGCTGCCTCTGTGGATGCATACACACTGAAGATACTGTAGTTAAAGAATTTCCCTTTTAATCCTACATAACATATTCAAGGACCATCTGGCTTAAAATTAATTACCTGGGATCTTAGCCTTTTACTTATTACCCGGCCGGTCCCTAAGATATGATGTATTTAATGACAACTATTTTTTCTCCAGTAATCCTGATCCCAGCCATCTCACTTCCTGTATAGCTGTTATATCACTCTTATATTTTTAAATTTGCTCGAGTAGTGCATTTAGAGCTCCAGGTCGGTACAGGGATAGAACATTCCAAGTCTCAATCCTAAAATCATTAATCCTTAAATGTTTGCCAGGTTGTTTCCTATTAGTCAGTCCAACTTTCCTTTTTATTTCCTGAGGTTTCGTAATCGATATATTTAGGGCAAGTGGGTGATTGGCCCTCTGCGCCCAAGTCACGTGATGGGGCTGCCATCTTGAGGTCTCTTGACTTGCCTGTTTTTCTGTCGGGGTTGTCTCCCTTAGCCGATGAGTTCCAGTTTTAAGGCGCTGGAAACTCGCCTTTACCCTTAAATGCACATTTAAATAAAGCAATTTGACAAAACGGTAGGAAATATTTTTGGTACATCAAAAAGTGTAGTTATAATAACTATCCAACAAGATATTCCAGCAAATACAAGTTCTTAATATGTCACTAAAATGTAATATGTATACCCCAATTAAACAGAAAATCAGGTGAATAACTATAAAGAGTTTTTAGAAAACAAATAAGACCTCCTTTCAATAAGCTGGCTACAGGCCTGAAAGTGTAATGTTAAAATAATGTTTATTAATTGATAAAGAGAGAAGTTAATAAAGACTTTTGTTCATTTTTCGTACAAATTAAATATGTCTCATAGTATTAATTGTTTTTTTTTTCAGTGTATTAACTTCCACTGATTAATTGTTCACATAAAGACTAATTTGTGCTAGTAAAATGAACATTGTACATTTTGAGTTCATGCAGACTTTATGCAGGCAGATAATCTTGCTTTCTTCCTCTCACACCATGTGCACATTGAATCACATATCAGAAATCAAGGTCCCAAATGCTGCATGATAGTGACCATCACACCTTATTACACTATTCTTTTGATGATTGTTGACCATGCTAATAGAGTCATTTGAGGAAATGTACTGAAAACAGGCCCAGTGTAGTGTAGTGGGTTACATTATAAATCTAGACTAGGATTATTCTCAACATTGGTCATAAAAATGCATTTAAAACATATGAAACAATAAAAAATTAATCCACCATGTTGTTTTCCAATACAGATGTGCAGAATGTAAAATTTTAAAGTTTGTTGTATTTTGCAGTGCTTGCCTGATGTGATCAATTTCACTGTTCAGAGAATAACACAAGTTTTCTTTTTTTTCTTGGAGGCATCAGGTTTTTTGCGTTCATCTCTATCTGTGGATAATTAAGTGTTAAACCTTAAACAGTTAGCTAATTTGGCATAATTAATAAGATATCTAATTTAAACAAAGTATACTCATTTACTTACTATGATCATTTCTACTAGACCGGACATCTGGGGAGGATGTGTCCTGCTTGCGGCTTGAATTGCCAACAGCTTCCTTTCGGTTTTTCTAGCGAGTAAAAAAAAATAATAAGATGAACACTATCAGCATGTTATTAACATTGATGGTACTGAATCATAAAACTTTCCACAAACGTTGAAAGAAATATATGAATATATGTAGGAAAGTTATGAACAGTAAATCAATAACATCTAGCTAACATAAAAAAGCTGACATGTAATACTGAAATGAGAACATACTAGCCACTTTGCAGCTTCTTTATAAGCCTCCTTATTTTTTTTACAGGCAAGCAATCCTTTACCCTCGTAGAACAGACAGTCAACAACAAGCATATTCTCCCTTGCCACAAATGTACTGCTATTTGACACAACAACCTCAGTGTCAAATGTGTGATGAAGCACCACTAAAATGGTCGGTGTATCGTCTAAAGACAAAAATAGAGAAAATGATTGTGAGTAGGTCCTATATGTAGCAGTACATATAAAAAAAAAAACATTTCGTTTTTTTATACTACTAATGTTATATATTCGCAAAGAAATTTCTTACCTTTAATTTTCTTGAGTGTCGCATCAATGTCAGTTCCAGTGCGAGAAACTACCGGACAGAAAGCCAGGTGAACATCACTGGGCTTTTCTCTTGTTTTTTTTCCCCTCTCCACATTTTTTAATTTAACATATTTTATATTCTTTTTTAGATTTTCCTCGAATTCTAGAGCAGTTTGTTCAACATTTTTAGGTGTCATGACTTTGTAATAAACTGTAAAGAAGAAAACAATAGAGGTTAGTCTCAATCTTCAAAGAAACAATCTTTAAAAAATAAACACTTTAACAACTGTGTTTTAAATATTATGTTTGCTATAGTTAAAAGAATGACAACGATTTTCAGTGCACACCCTGTTAAACATCATAAATAGTTAAATGACAGGTAGTCAATCTGTGAGCAACTTTTTTACTGATATGATAATATAATCCAGATGCAGCTTTCCATCAAAAAGCAACGGTTTGCAATTCAGATTGTATTGTACAAGCCTACTGCTATTATGGATAGTTCATCCAACAATGAATTCAGTCATTTACTGATGATGTGTGTGTTGTTATACCACTGACTGACTGACTTATGTACATAGGCTACTCAAAAGGGTCTGTGTGCCATCCGTTCATTTGATTATTCATTTTATTCTGGAAAACGAAACATCAGAAAAACAGTAAATTTTTCGTTTTTCTGTTTATTCGGTACGCACAAAAAAACGAAAGCTCATCTGTTATTCTGCTTTTTAACATAAAACGAACAATTAAAACAAGCACAAAACCAAAACAAGTCAAAACCAATTAATGAGTCAAAAAACTGTGCTCTTATTTGTTTATTCGTTTGATCAAAAAAATGAACACGCACAATTTGTTTTCCAGTTTTACACGGGATAAAGAAAAGAAAGAAGACCTTTTTTGGTTTTACTTTTACTCACAAAAAAATTAAAAAACAATTTTGGCTGGATTTTCTTTTTTTTATTATTTAGGGTAGGAAAACAGATAAACCACTTTAAAATTTATTACACATGTAGGTGGTGCTGAAACGTCAATTGGCCAACCAAATCTGAGCTCGTGATATAGCCCTCAAAATATTATGCTAGTCCTCTGCGATCAGCACCTTCTTAATTATTATTTAATTATATAAACTAAGTGTACGTATTCTATCATTTGAACCAAACACAGTTAGCAGGCTTACATTCATTGCATATGTAAATAAAAATAAAAACGTAAATTGGTAGTATTATTAGACATCTATTAATCAAATTAAATTCATAGTTTGCTGCCAAATGTCTTCTGCTGCTGTGCACCTGATGCTAAGCAAAGATAGCCATTTCCGAGAAGCACCTGGTTTACATAATCGATTCTTTTTATTATTATTGTTTAATTATTTTTTTAATAGTTGTTAGGACCAGAATAAGAACATACTGGGCCCTGATGCTATGACAAATGGTACCATTTGTTTTTATTTCATTTCCTCCTATTTTATTTACTATTAGCCTATTTTAATTAGCCTATTTATTTGATAATTAATACTTTTTTATTGAAAAGTAGACCTACTTTGGATTTTCAATAAAATAGTGAAATAATCAACTGAATAACTTTTGAAACTTGAAGCCAATCAGTTTCAGTGTGTGGGGAAATAAAAATAACTTTTCTCCAGGGACGAAAGAAAGTCAACAGGTTAAAAATAAAAATATTTATTAATAATAGCATGAATATAACAAATATGTGACTTACTTTTTTCCAACATTATATTCTGAAGTGAAGGGATAAAAAACGTTCGCTGTTAAGAAAACAAGAGACGGCAATTAATACAGGCCTGTGACAAAGGCGATTCTCAACGCTAGTATTGTTCCAATTATAATGGTCAGCAAATCTTTAAATGATCTTGACCTGTTTGTTACATTTTTCTTACCTTATATCTTAAGTAGTCTACAGTTGTTCGTAGAAATCTTGCTGAGCAAAGTTGGATCACCTTAACGCTTAACTCTTCCGGTGAAGGGGTTGAGGTTGAAAGAATAAGAAAGTGAAAGCAGATTTATAATCTACGCCACAGGCGACAAACTCAGTTCCTGAAGGGACGAAGCTCTGCGCAGTTGAGTTTCAGTTACCTGATCAAACTAATAGAGTCCGTTTGTCTTCTTTGAATCCTACAGGTAAATGTGATGAAACAGGGTTGGAGGCGGTGTTAGCAACTAAATTTGACACCCCTAATCTACGCCATACATCTTAAAACAAATCAGACAAGTCACGAAAAAAGGTGACAAAATAAATATGTTATAAATATTCCGTGTTCTTTAACAGTCCATGGTGTTACAAGAAGTTCTAATATCGAAATGACATGAAAACTAGCTAGCTAAACATAGTAGCTACAGGTGATGCAGTCAAAAAAAAAAAAAAAAAAAAAACACGGAATCAGGAACAACCCTCTATGCTAGAGTGAATCTAATCTTGTAACTGTAGATGGCGCTTTGCTCTTCATATTTAGTCCATCGTGTGTTTGTTCTTTCCATTATTTCTCTTCAAAATCAGAAATCTGTGAAAATGACCTTGACAATACAGTGATACATTTTCACCATCATCTTGACAAACCCGTGTCTGTGAATGGAACAAAGAAAAGAATTGCTTGGAATGTTTATCATTTCCATAAAGGCCTACCATAGCAATTTATATAAATAGTGTATCGTTTTTGAACCAGTAAAATAGGCTACTTGAATTAATCTGTCGGGGTAATTCCCAGTACATGGTTGCGGCTGGAAGGGCATCTGCTGCAAAAAAATGCTAGAAATTAGAATAGTTGGTGGTTCATTCTGCTGTAGCGACCCCTTATAATCTGGGACAAAGCTGAAGGAAAGTAAATGAATGAATGGTAATTATATAGCTGTATGAGGTGGAAATACATTAACAGAAATAAACAAATTAGAAACAAATCTAAATTAGGAATATTATATTACATTTCACAATTTACTGTAGTAAAAACTAAAGTATACTATATTTATTACAGTTTATCAGTTCACGCTATAATAAGTGACTATGAGTGACTCTGCATAAATAAACCTTATGGAAATGTATATTTTTGTATAGACCAATACAGAACATCTATAGTTCAAAGATGTGGTTATCATCACACTTCAAACACTACAGTGTAAGAACAATTCTGCTGAAGAATGCAGTATACAAATAAAGTGTAAGAATGTATTTGTTCAAAGGACATCATCTGGGGCTACTATTTTATCTACATTCCAACCTGATTTGTCACTCAGTGACCTCCTTTATAGGAGCTCATTGACAGGTTTCTTTTTCTGTCAATTTATTTTCTCTTCCTGCTGCTTGGCTTCTGATTAGAGACTGCCAGTGATTTTATAAACCATAACAACTTGACTGAGAACTTTTGTTTGTATGGTGTAATATAATAGTAAAATAATCATTAACAACTTGTTTTACAGCTCAGACATTCAAATAACACTGCCTACTTGTGCATGCCCCAATTTGTAAACATGAATGTTGTGTGTATATGTAAAGTGTAATATGGAAAAATAAATTGAATAAAACTAATTATAATGGAATGTTTATCTTAACCTTAACTTTAGGGATTTTACCCCATCTTCATGAGCATTATTATCTCTTTTACAGCCTATTATTTCTAATTGTTTCCAACTGGATGACTATGCATTTTCTTTCTTGTTTAGAACAAAGTCTTTTACACTTTTGTATGCATTAATGGATATGTAGAGATAAGGAATTAACGATGTACAAGTCAGGCCCAGTCAGAAACTTTGTGAAACATCTTGAGAGATTTAAAATACTGTAATTTAAAGTGTCAACTACATTCACCTTCAGACTTCAGTGTGAAACGCTATATAACTGACATTAAAGGTAAACTGCAGTGATTGTTCACCAGACATAAAAATATATGTTGTGCAATTTAGTTCGATTCCAATAAAATAGACTCTGCAAATGTTGTAACTGAATAAATATGTTGTTGTTTTCATGCTCATAGAAATATGAAGAAGCCATAGGTACATATCAGGTCATGAAAAGTGAAACATATCTAAACATGAAACAATCATATAACAAATATCTAAAAAATTACAGAATGCAAAAGTTAAAAAAAAACTTTTCAGGCAAAAAGTTTTTTTTTTTTTAAATGCTGCCCATTGGCCTACAGTTTGGTTTAGGACATTTTTGCTTTTCTTAAAAATACGTTTAGGCTAATATAAAGAAAACATCCAAAATATGCTTTTAATCAATTTGTGTTGATAGATTTTCTTTACAACTAGCCATAAGTCGATAACCGTTTTCAAGGTATACCACAGTTTGGAAAATTCAAGGTTTTAAAAACTGCCAACATTTTCTGTTATACCGTTCCTTAGGTAGGTGTAAGTTTTTTTTATTTAAGATTTTTTTTTTTAACGTTTTTAGGGCAACAGTTACTCCAGCAGAAAAGATCTCCAAATATGCCGTTTAAATGGTAAAGAAATCTGTGTTCTTTTTAAACAAACGAAGACAGCAGAAGTCAATGATTCATTTGAATTATTTAGCCTGACGTTTCCTTTTCCAAAATATTTTAAATGTTTCTCAAAGTAAAATATATTGTTTTCAAAGAGAAAAAAAGTTTTTGTTTATTACTCAGACATTTAAAAATAATATATTTTAGAGCAGTAATCACTACACTGTGGTATTGTTAAACCATGATATTTTTATCCAAGGTTATCATACAGTCAAATCTTATACCAGCCCATGCCTACTTACAATACATAAAACTATTTTCTCAATAAGATTTTGTTTTACTTCTGCACTAATTTGTTTTTAAAATCCATTGCAAACATTTGAAATGCAAAATTTGAAATGTTTGCAATTGAGCACATATTTAATGAGATACAATTTAATATAAATAACTATGGATTTAATATACTTAATCATAATAATAGCTTTTTTGCCTAGTTAAACATAATTGTTTTTTAAAACTTGTAATACACAAAAAGTGTTGGCAATTCTTCCTTTTAAGCTTGAACTATTTTAAAGCCTGCATCACGTGATCTCTCTATATGAGTTTTTTCGTACTTTGCCTCTTGTAAAGTTTTTGGTTTTTTTATTAGTCTTTAACTATAATATACAGCGTCTAAATGGGAATTATATTGCAAATATATATAAAGCGCGCATCTCGGCTATATTTTGTTGATGTTTTACCTCATTCTGAACACACGGTGTCCTCAGAGGCTCAACTTTGCCTCGCAGACACTGAACGCGTGAACGTTCATGTTTTCCCGTGCGAGGATGTGCTGTTGTTTTTTTCGAGGGGTAATGGCCGCCTCGGAGTCTCGCAAATGGGGAGCGGGCTGTATGCCGACAGACGCACGCGCGCTCTCGTGTCCATTAAGACCATGCGGCTGGACCTACGGTCTGGACAGGTGGTTTATCCTCATTTCAGAGGCGGGAGTCTGTCTAGACTTCAGTCACATAAACACATGAACGCGCGCGCGCACACATGTTGGGTTTCCATGTTTTATGGGGACTTTCCATATAGACATGTTTGTTCTGGACTAAATCCTATCCCTCACAGAAGAATACTATGCTTTTTCACATTTACAATACTTATACATTGTAACAAATAATAACTGCAGCCTTAAATGTTGATGTAGCCTAGAATCAAGGTAAATCTGTACGTAAGTACTGTATGTTTCCATGACTCATTGATATTTTTGCAGTGTAAGCTAATATACCATATGATAAGTTATTACACTGCAATATCATATGATTTATGTTTTCTGCATTGGAACAAAAAAATGCCACACACCTTTCCAACAAACAGCTCAATCTGTTAAAAAAGACACAAGCCACACGTTTCAGTTCTCTCATTCTTTTTTCATCATTTGTTCCATAAATTGGAGTGACATTGTCTTAATCACAGGCAATAATCATTGAGGAATTTCTGAATTCAACAGACATGTCTACTATATCCAGACCATACAGTCAGTCTCCCATGCCCACCCGAGCCCAATATTTCCCATTATTCACAGAATTATACAGTAGCCCGCAGCCTAATAACTCTCTTATTAAAACCCCTTTATACACAATTGTCATTGAAATTTTCATAGCATTAGATATACAGAAGAACAGATCAACTTTAAAACTTTACACAGACCCCTGATTGTGCATATCAGACCCTTTTCCCCCAACAACTTACAGGTACTTAAAAGACAATAAAGCATTACTTTTCTTTTTTTGTTTGTTTCTTTTTTTTTCTGGACTATATACAGATAGTCCTTACCTACAGTATACATATGACCTTGGCTGTATTTCTACATCACTTAATACCATGTTAATGTTTTCTGGAAAGTACGTCTGGGGACATACAACTTTATACACCAAACCAGACTCTATAAAAATGTCAGTCAGAAGAAAGAAACAAACCCACTGCTAGAATGCAGAATCTTCAAACCTGCTCTAGGATAAAAAGCATCTTTTACAGCTGCCGTGTATTAAATAAGAGCTAATACAGACAATAAGGCAATCAAAATATAGGAAAGAAAAGACAAGGAGGAAAACAGAGTAGCCAAACGCGCTGGACAGACAGAAAAAGACACACGCACAAGCACAGTTTGATGCTTTCTTTGTTTTTTTGTTATGGTCCGGCCATGAGGTGGATTTAAAAAGGCATATGTCCTGCTCAGGATGATAAGTAAACAGGTTAAAACTCTTAAGGGGGCATTAATAAGCCCACCCAGCGTTTTAATCCCCAACTGCTGTTGTTCTGCTAGTTTTATTCCTAGTATAAAGAGTGTGAAGATTTCAGCGAGAGGTATGTATGTTATCTGTAATCATTGACAACCACTGTATGATCAGTGATGTGGATGAGTATACTGTAAGCAAATGTCACTCCTATTACACACTGCATTGAATGTGGCATGTGGTATAAATGAACCCCTATATAATATGCATAAACAAAGGAGGCTCTTATTTTCACATGATAGAAAAGGCATTCGTATAAGCACTATAAGGCTTCATGTTGATTCCCGGTAACTGAAGGCAGCTGTTGTACTATGTGAGATATGAATTTACATTAGCAAATAAGTGATAGAAAACACGCAGATTGTGCAGGCAAACGAGAAAAATACTGCTTACTAAAAATCTGGTATTAAAAAGCATCATGAGATCAGTCATTGGCATGATCGATGGTAGTGTGTGAGTTAGGAATTTGGCACTAAAACAGGATCACTGATACATGTTATATAACCGACACTGTACAAAACAAACTTTAGATTAATTAGAAAACTGCAGAAGCCATCAAAAAGAATCGTTAATTTTAAAACAGGTGATTAAAATATAGATATATATATATATATTTAAAAATCATTAAAAAAGAACAACATGCTACGTTTCAGCAAAGACAGGCACCACTGTCCAGATGGCATAAAAAGACCCTGTTCCCTTGTAACTCTCATCTTGAAATTGCAATACTGAACAAAACAACTGAAAGCGAAAGAAACTGAAGCACTGAATTCACCATTACAGGGCATGTTAACTGTGTGTGTGTGTCCAAAATGTAGATTGCTAGAGTGTAAAAGTCAATGGGGCAGATGAATAAATTAGATGGATATCTCTCCAGCAAACAATTTCGTGTTTAATAGACCTCTAATAGACATTGAAATGTAGACAGCTAGGCTAAAACAAAGCTAAACTTGGGTTGTCAGTGAAAATCTAATAGACGTCTAATAGACATCTAAATGTTGACATCTAGGCTAAAACAATGCTAAACTTGGGTTGTCAGTGAAAATCTAATAGACGTCTAATAGACATCTAAATGTAGACATCTAGGCTAAACAAGGCTAAACTTGGGCTGCCAGTGAAAATCTAATAGACGTCTAAGATCAGCCCAAAACCAGACTAGCCGTCCAATTGACCGATTAGACAGACTTTATATGTGCAGACATTGCAGTCATTCATTTCTGTTTATTTGATGACTAGTCTAGTTTTGGCCTATTCCTAGACGTCTATTAGTTTTTTACTGACAGTTCAAATTTAGCCTTGTTTTAGCCAAGATGACTATGTTTAGACATCTATTAGACATCTATTAGACATCTTTTAGAAACAAAAAATGCTTGCTGGGTCCTGTCTGGCAAAGTGTGTGTTAAATTTATATAGCAGTTCAGTCTGCTGATAACAGATCTGCATTCAAGAGGCACAGTTTTAAATCTGAATGCGAATGTGTGTAGCTGAAGTAAACTGGGGATGGGGAAATCCTACAATAACACAAAAGCGACTACATGACTAAAAACAATAAGGCCATGGAGACTCTCTCTCACACACACACAATCATACACACACACACCAGATGTTTCATATTGATCAGACATCTATCAGCCATCTGATGCCACCATGCTCAGATTCATAGAGCAAAGAATAGATGATGTTTGCATATGTTTGAAAATATCTATTTAGGGGTAGATGCATCCAATAAAATTGAACTGGGATAAAGTATATGCAATCAGCTTTGATTTTACTGTGGTTGTGTATTTGTGGGAGTGTGTGTGCGTGTCTGAATCTTTTATTAATGAAATGAGGCACAGCATGGCTGAGGCGACTGATTTCTCTCTCTCTCACTCTCTCTCACTCTCTCTCACACACACACACACACACACACACAAAGATAAATCGAGAACAGTAAGGCAATCTGATTACAAACCATAGCAAAAATAAAAAAAACAACTTGCATCCATCCAATAGTTTTTCTTCACACTCTGTCTTTCGACTTTGTTCAGCATAGCAAACACAAAGGAATGGGAAAGAAAAACAACAACAAAGAGAAAGCATTTGTCTTTTACAGAGCACATTGAGACCTGTGTAAAAATGGCTACAATCAAAAATGAGGCACTTTTATAAAAAAGTTGTATTTATATATTTATAAGATCGATAGATAAGATTTATTCTCAGTAATATTATGTCTGCTATATATTCTTCATCTATCATTATACTATAGAACATCTCTTTTACAATAATTGAAAGTTTGTGGTAGAGGATAAAAAGAATATCATTGGCTCCCGGTTGGCAGTCAGAGTCGCAGTGGCCCTTCATAAGGGCACGTCCATCTCGGTGATCTCTGGCAGAAATGATGGATCGTCTTTTGGCACAAATTTTATTTTGATTGAACCGATGGGAAATAATGAGAGCAAATGTTGTTATGAGGCAAGGGCAGTTAAGTTTCCACTGTTGAGGGTTGTGGGCAATCGCACCATTTTTCAGAGCACATCAAGTGCAGGGAGAGATGAACCGCTTTCTCTCTCTCACAGGAAGGACAGACGTTGACTGGTCCGAATGCTGGAGCACATTAACAATCTGCAAAAAATGACACAAAAACACCCGGTTAGCCACCTTGATTTAACAAAAAAAAAAACAGTTCAGTTTTTTAGAAACTTATAATAAATTCAATTTATGTTTATTTCTTTAGCACTTTTACAATGTAGATTGTGTGAAAGCACCTTAAGATACTGTAGAAGTTCTAATAAAATAAAAACGTGTCAGTCCAGTTTTCAGAGTTAAATACAGTTTACTTCAGTTCAGTGTGGTTTATTTCACTGCTGAAAGTCCAAACACTGAAGATCAAATCCATCAATGCGCAGCTATTAATGACCTCAATGACCTTAAGTAAAAACACACACAAAAATGTATGTACAGAAATTAAATGCAAGAGCGTCACTATGATATGAGGGGAAAAAGGGGGAACAAATGAGCGCTGAGGTTTGCAGGGGCCCACAGACCGATATTTAATCCAATCCCTAGAAACACTCTACATTAATGTATCTAATCACTTTAATCAAGTACAGTATTATAAACTATCCCCAGTAAAATATGATATGATTGTGATATGATCTAAGCACATGGTCTAAAGCATACGACACAAGAGCACTTAGGGTGTATCAGAATCCATTTCTGCTTGTTTAACGACAGGTAAAACAGTCTGTGCATCCAGTGCATGGTCTAAAAGGGTTGCTCCTATTCTCTTAATGAATAATAGGTGTGTTTTTGGGTGTAACTTGCTGCAAACCAATTAGAGTCTCCCATCCCCTTTATAAGCCAGTTGTGCTCACATTAAGGCATATTTGACATTGAAAGAATTTCCATGTTCAAAGAAATGCACTTCCGCATAGAGAGACAAATCTGCATGTTAAAGTGCATGAACAAATCATGTATTGTGCAATTTTTTATACACTGTAGTAAAATGTTGGTGTAATAAGGTAGAACACTCACTATCCTTCGGCTTAGTCCATGGTTTATCAGGGGTCACCACAGCGGAATGAAACGGCAATTACTCTGGCCTATGTTTTATGTGGTGGATGCCCTTACAGCTGCAACCCAACACCGGGAAACACTCAAACACTCTCTCACTCCCAAACACACATGCACACTCATACCCAATGATTTCAAACTGCATAATTTTAGCCTCGATTTTGACAAATTCACTGGCAAATCGGTCCTCGTTCACGTGAGTAACAGTCACACAGTGTGAACTATCAAAGACATGATCTGAGAGAATCGTCAATGAGTCGCTGACGGCCGTGAGGTATTTGGCATGCTAAATATCTGGACCCGTTAGCTGATTGAAAATAACATCTGCGATCACCTACAGCCAATGAGAGAGCAGCATCCACTAGTGTGGGTATTTCAACGCAATCTAATGGCAATTCGTAACTTTTTAATGGCTAATTCGTATGAATTCATACGATCTTATTCGTACAATTTTATACGATTTGCTCATCACCCTATGACGGTTGGGGTTAGGGGTGGGGTTGGGTGCCACACCTCCTTTTTATAATCGTACATTGTCATACCACTGAAATTGTACGACTTAGCCACTAAGCGAACAAAACGTAAAATACATACGTTTCCTCGTGAGATCAGGCTGGGTATTTGCAGGCCAGCTGGAGGTTGGGGGAGTTGTTAAAAGCTATTTTTTTCCCCCTGTCTATTTGAACTCAAGAAATGGAGTAAAAATTGGAAGTTTGGCAGAAGCACCCATGACTATTTGACGTGTCATCTGAGCAATGCCACAACTTGGTCAAAAAGTAAAAAAGGTTAAAGAAAAATTGCTAACTCCCTTCAAAGGCCAGGTGAGCAAAATAAGTACATTTTCTACCCCACCAAAGACTTCTTTCTCATTATTTTGTTAAAAACAAAAGATATACTAGGTGACCTCACATTGTTTCCATATCAGACCATTCCAGACAATTAAATTCTAAATCAGACTTAAAATGTAAAAAATGTGTGCCATTATCATAAAACAACATCAATTTAACATATCTGACATCAAAACAACGTAAATAATCAACTATTGGACTGTTCTGTGATTTTTTTACATGTTTTTGACGGCAATGTTTTGACACAAAAGTATTTAAATGCATAGTAGGGATACAAAATCCAGTGTAAATTCATCTAGAATTGAAGCTTTTAGATGAATAAAACTTTTCTTTGATTATAATCCATTTGGCTCATTATCTTGCTAATCAAAAGGCCATCATTGTGTAGATGTCAAACGGATGGCAAAGTGTTGACATTAAATCAATTAGCATTTTTACACGTGTTTTTTTTACACAAGTTGCCCACTGGATAGCAAATCTGGCCATCATGTTTAATAATTAACTCGTCTCTAAATACTGGATTAATGTTTTGCTTTATTCTTTCTTTTAAATATCTGAGATCTGATGTTCACAGTCTTAGGGCAGCAAGTACATAATGATGTGTTTATTCACAGAACTGCGGTCACTGGAGGACACTGGTGCCAGTGAACTGCATGCCATTACCTACAGTGGCAGTGTCTTACAGTCTCAATGTTATAACAAACAGCATACCAGAGCATAACACAGTCACAGAGGCACCAAACCACTTTCAGTTTAGTCTACTCGCAGGAGACGGTGGGGAAAAAGACAGATATGAACACACACATATTCAAACTGAGAAAACACTTCAAATATATATATATTTATAAACACTAGCAAAAGAAAAACTGAAAAGAGAGTAATGAAAAGTGTTTCTAGAAACTGATAATCATTTTGATTTGTATTTTTAACTCAGAATACTGAAGAAACTCTTTATTTCTATCTATATTCCTCTCGGTGTAAATGCATCACTGAACAGGTCTCATGGGATTTCCCCTTTTTTACCTTGAGTTTTCATTTTTCCATCGTTTCTTTACTGAATTTTCACCGGGAGACATGTTTAAGATCAAAGTATACACTTTACTGTCAGTATGTGTGCACTTACATATAACTGCTGTCATGTTCGCAGTGTCAAAAAGCACACACATCTGTCTATATGCACAAAAAGCAAATGCAGTACATATTCCCACTGCAAACATTACTCCCTGTGGAAGGCTTTTTGAGCTCACACACCAGTGACTCTACTTTGTGTCTAAATGCAAACTGTGCACAAATACAAGGGTCAATCTCAGGAAATTCACTTTTTAAACTATTATTCATAAAAAAAACTGATCATAAAAATATATTCTGAAAATGAAAATAATTTTCTCATAAAACTTACAAATTTCTGGTCAAATAGTTTTAGTAGCCAAAATTTCTCATAGCAATTAGTATTTTTTCTGATTTAGAGGCTAATTTGTATTAATTTGTATGATCTCCTTCACACATTTTAGTTTGATTTATCATTCTCCATTGAGAGGTTTCATACAAATTCTTACAAACTAATTACTTTTCTGACAATATGTAAAATAGTTGTGCTTTCTCTGGAAATTTTACATGCGATCCAACAATCCAATTAACCAACTGGACTTCTGCTTTGAGGTTTAGATTTACAGTTAAACTCAAATTTATTGCACCTTTGAAAATGCTTTACCAGTAAAATGCTACAGAGTAAATAAATCATTTCTGTATAAACATATTCAAGCAGTGTGACTTATGTAGTTGCGAAAACAACTATGGGCTCTATTTTAACGATCTAGACACAAAGTCTAAAGCGCATGGCGCAAAAGCATTAAGGGCGTGTCTGGATCCACTTTTGTTATTTTAAGGGTGGATAAATACAATTTGCGCCCTGGAGCATGGTCTAACAGGGTTGTGCTTATTCTCTTAATGAGTTCTGGGTGTGTTTTGAGCATAATGTGCATTAAACCAATCACAGTCTCATCTCCCATTCCCTTTAAGAGTCAGTTGCGTCGCGCCTGTGCATTTGCTATTTACATGGCGGACTTTGAAAGTGGAAAGACAGAACAATTCACTAGCGAGGAAACAGTTAAACAGACCATCTGCAGCGGGGATAAAGAATGAGCCTCCTCCATTCAGCCTCTTTACTTTCTCTTTACTTTTACTCTTTACCTTACTTGTTTACTTTTGTGGATAAGGAAATAGTGTTGTTCGCACTCCACTAAAGACATCCATTAGCATACATATTAAATTTAGTGTGTTAAAACGCACTCTGCTCTGGGCTTTAGACCAGATTTCAGTTGGTCAATGGCACAGTCTATTTCAGTTGTTCAAAATACAAACAATGTGCTTTAACACACCTCCTTTTTAGACTGGAACACCCATGAGTCCACAAAGTAGCTATTTAGTGGCAAATTAGCTATTTAAACAATGTGAATGTGAAAATTAGGGTTGCGCTGGTCTGAAATAGCAATAAATTGTGGCAAAACACACCTGCACCCTATTGCGCTGGCTGTACCATAGGGCCCTATGAGTGAAAAGATGACAGAAACACAAGTAAAGCAGAAACACAAAAACATCCAGGCAATAGGCCACTAGAATGTTTTACTCTGATATTGACCACAACAGCTCCTCACTTTCTCTCTATCCTTAACTGATGGCTCTCCCCAGTTTTTTTCTATCAGACCAACCAATACTGTTATTGCCAATGTATAAGAGAGAGAAAAGACTTGGGAGAAACGCTGAAGGAAACACTGAAAGCGATTTGTTTCCATGTGCTAGAGAGAGAGAGACTGAGAGCTGCATCTGTTTGGATCTGTTTATGTATACTAAGGGAGGTGTGTGTAAGGAAAAATTGTGATCAAGAATGTAGTATAGATCTGTGAGAGAGGATTTGCCAAGTAGACTGGCCAAAAAGAGAAAACAAGCCTTAGCGTGAAAGTGTATGTGCACAGATTTGCATATCTAGAATAGCGTTAAAGTTTAAAGGAAACTGATGCCTGTGTATATTATATACTGAATAGTAAAAACAGTTTAGGGTCAGCAAGACCCAGCAAGAATTTTATTCAAGCATGGGCAGATTAAACGGAGTGACAATATAATAAAAGTAATAATTAGCAATAAATTATTAGCTCCAAGGTCATTAGGTCATCAGGGTGTGGGTTTTCTATGTCTAGAGTTTAC